CAGATGTGCATATATCTTGGGGGGGGGGGGGAATGCACAACATTCTGAATGAATGTGATTCCAGAGTACAAATAATTTTGATACATAACATGAATGGATGAATGGGAACAAAATGAAAGCGTATAGGAAAAGCCACTGGGCCATTTGGAGACCCAGGAATGAGTGTTAGTAGTGACTAGGGATGATCTGCTTAGGGAAATCTGTGTTTCCAATATGTGATTTAGCTGTAAATCTGTTCATATGCACATGTGGGAAAGGAATGAACCCAAAGGCATGTTTTATCTAATTGCTTATGATGAAAGGCTGAGAGAATTCGTGAAGGATAAAAAGTGATGAGCAGTTTTGACCACAGGGGGGAAAAGCTTATTTGGAAATGTCAAAAATGGATCTTAGGAGAAAATGGGCACAGAACAAAAGAAATGAAAATAAACTAGAGTACAAGTAGAATGATTGCAGGGAGAGAAAGTGTGACTTCTAAATGAAAAGTACAAGAAGATAGATTTGTCTCCCAACAGAATGAGTGGAAAATGGATGCAAGACAGTGAAAACAGCTTGGAGCAAACTGAAAGGAATGTTACCGAGTGTCACGAAAGTGTGTGGAGTTACACAAGTGGGAAGTAGGAAAAAGGATGCTTGATGGAATATTGGGATAAAAGATGCTGTGGATGAGGAAAAATGCATTATAAGAGAACGACTGGTGCAAAATAATGTTGATGAGAGAAAAATATTGTATAATAAGTATACACTATAGAGAAAAATATAGCTGCAAAGGATGTAGTCAAAGGGAGCATGTAATGGTTAAGACACAGAAAAATGCAGAACAGTTTTCGTGGAAATAAAAATTGTTCTGGAAGTACTAAACCAGGAGTCAGCAGCAGAATGGAATTAAGTGATAAAATGAATTGGTATGAAATTGAAGTGAGGGAATGCTGGAAGGTGCATTTTAGAGATTTGTATGAGACTGATGGATTGATTGATGATTGATTGATTATGTGCCATCAAGTCATTTTTTATTCCTAGCAACCACACAGATAGATTTTCTCCATGACAATCTGTCCCTAACCTCATCCTTCAGGTCTTCCAGTGGTGTACCTATCACTACTGCAACTGAATCCATCCACCTTGCTGCTGGTCTTCTTTTTCCTTCCACCTTTCCCAGCATCCAGCATTAGAGCCTTCTCTAGGAAGCTACCTTATCTTTGCATAATGTGTCAAAGTAGGATCATCTGAGCCTGGTCATTTGTGCCTCATATGAGAATTCTTGGTTAATTCGTTTGTGGATCCATTGGTTTGGGGTTTTTGTTTTTGTTTTTGGCTGTCCATGATACTCTCAGGTGTCCAATACTCTTCCTATCCTGCTTCTTCAAAGTCCAACTTTCACTTCCATACAGTATCACAAGGAATAATATGGCTTGCATGACTCTGATCTTTGTAGGTATAGACATCATGGCACTTGAATTTCTTCTCCAGCGTCTTCCCAGCTGCTTTACCAAGTGCTAGTCTGCATTGTATTTCTTGACTGCTTGTTCCTTTACTTTGATGGTTAATCCTAAAAGGCAGAAGCTATCCACCACTTCAATATCTTCATTGCCAGTTCTAATGCTGGTTGTTCTACCAACTGCAAATGTAAATGGTATAATTCAAAAATTGTTAAAACATAAAATTGTTTCCAGAATAACTATGAGATTTATTTAACATGTGTGTGAAGATTGTATCCATGCCTGACAATTGGAAGAATTACTGTTCCTTATACAAAGAAAAAGATAGAAAGAGTGAATGCAAGTACTACAGACTAGTTTATTAAGTGTGCCTGGGAAAGTGTTAATGAATCCTGATTGAAAAGGTACAAGAGATGATAATGAGCAAGATTTGGGGAGGGCAGTGTGACTACACTGGGATGAGATTGTACCAGCCAAACGTTTTCTTTTCAGTAGGTGATTGAAAAATCTATGAATGTATGTGTGTGTAAGAACAGGCTGCGGAGAAAGAATTGCAGGCCCCTGTGCTGCCTCCCTCCCCTCCTATCTGAGCCTTCTCCCCTATGTCAGCACAGCAGAGGGACCAATAAAGCAGTAATCTTGGAACAGGTGGGGGAGGAGAACAAGGAAATAGGAGGAGAACAGAGGAGACACGTGTGGTTTCAAAGCAGCCGCCACCACCGCCAAATGAAAGCAGGTGTTGAAGGTCCAATTGAGAAGAGAGGAGCTATAGCAGCCAAGCAAGACAAAGCACAATGAAAAAAAGGGGCAAGAGGTCTACAAGCTGGCCATTAAAAGAAAAAGAAGAAGTCCCAGAGGAGGAGAGAAAAAGACTTGGGCCTGTAAGAGCACAACACTCTTGCATACTAGTAACAGTGGTAGTAAAAGAGCAACAGAAATAGTATACTAGTAACAGTAGTGGTAGAATATATCTTAGTAGTAGAAGTAATAGTATAGTGTATAGTAATAGCAATAGTAATAGGATATAGTATAGAGAAAATGGTTTAGTAGATGGAGTGTAGGTTAAGATAATAGTTATAGAAAGTACTCACACACACGTTTGTATATATGTCTTTTATATCTTGTCTTTTATATCTTGGATAGTGTTGTAAATAAAAAACCTCCCTAACCCTTATAGGGAGACATAAAGACCCAAGTGTCTAGGGTCCAGAGCTTTTTGGTGTTTTTGAGTCTGTGTAAATCAAAATTGAGTACTGTTTGGGGAAAAAAAGAATCCATTACAGTGTGAAAGAACTTTTATCGGATTTAGAGAAAGTGTATGATAAACTGAGTAAGCTTGAATACAAAACTTCAGTGAAGCAAATTTAAATATGAGTTTTAAAATAGTGAACATCAAAAGTGAATGAACAAGAAGGTAATAATCATCTCAATTTCTTCTTCTTTTCTTCAAGCCTCTGGCAGGAAAAAAGGACAGGACTATATGATTGGACAAAATCAGACCCAGGTGACTGAATTCACTTTTTCAGGTTTCACAGATCATCCAGAATTGCAAGTTGTTCTCTTTAATATATTCTTGGTGATTTATATCATCACACTGAGTGTAAATCTAGGGATGATCCTGTTGATCAACATGGATCCCCAGCTACATACTCCAATGTACTTCTTCCTCAGCCATTTGGCCTTCCTGGATGCCAGCTATTCTACCTCTGTCACACCCAAGGCAATGGCAGACTTTTTAGCTGAGAAGAAAACAATTTCATGGGCTGGATGTGTTATACAATTCTTTATATTTGTTGCATTGGTGACTACTGAATTGTTCTTGCTATCCGTCATGGCGTATGATCGATATGTGGCCATTTGCCATCCATTGCTTTATTCCAGAATTATGTCCAAGAAATATTGTGTTTCCTTGGTGGTTGGTGTCTATGGCTATGGATTTGTAAACTCTATGATCCAAACAGCATTAACATTCCAGTTATCTTTCTGTGGTCCAAATTTAATTAACCACTTTTACTGCAGTGACCCGCCACTTCTAGCTTTATCCTGCTCTGACACTCGGCCAAAAGAAATCCAGCTTTTTGCCTTCAGTGCTATCAATTTAACTGGGTCCCTCTGCACAGTCATTATATCCTATATCTATATTCTGAATGCCATCTTTGGAAAACATTCTACTAGCAGAAGGCACAAAGCCTTCTCTACCTGTGCCTCTCACCTGACTGCTGTTGTGATTTTCTATGGCACCCTCTTCTTCATGTATGTGCAACCAAGCTCTTCTCATTCTCTGAATTATGACAAAGTGATTTCTGTGTTTTATGCTGTTGTGATCCCCATGCTGAACCCCCTTATCTATGTTTTGAGAAACAAAGAAGTTAAAGGAGCCTTGAGAAGAATGAAGGTTAAGATATTGCTTTCATAGTATGGCATGTATATATGTATCTATTTTTCAGCTTTTTATACCTTGGCCATTCAACAGATCCTGCACTGGGCAGAGTGCAACAGGTTAAAATTATAAAAGCATCAAGGGAAATGAGTCAAATTTATTATTTTTAAAAAAACAGTAATAATAAATCAACCCTCTCCTAAGATATCTGTACAACCAAGCTGAGGTTGAAAGCACAGTGAAATAAAACTGTCTTTAAAGGATTGTATTGATTGACTGATTGATTGATTGATTGATTGATCCAACTTATATGGCCATCCATCTATCCAACATACTCTGGGTGGCAAAAAAACAAAAACGAAGAATTACCTTAAAACAGCAACCAACTAAAACTTCATTGAGGCTCAATAAAAACACAAACACAAACTACTGGGCATAGGCACCCATGACAGAGCTCCCAAACTATTGGTTTTCTAAAGATCATTAAGAGTGGAGATTTACAGATTTTGAGGGTTCAGAATTCCAAAGTGTGGGCACTGCCACAGAAAAAGCCTGCCATCTCCCTCCCCTTCAGGGGAGAGATTTTTAACAGGCTTTCCTAGGGTATTTTTTGTGAAGAGGCAGATTCAATTGTTGCAAGATGGTGCTATGTCTTATAGGACCTTATAGGTCATTACCAGCACTTTGAGTTGGGTCTAGAAGACTATTGGGATCCAATGCAATGGCTTCAGGAAAGGTATTATCCTGCAATGGCAGGATTGACTCACCAGTAATCTTGTAGCTGTATTCTAAACCAGCTGTGGTTTCCAGGTGATCTCCAAAGGCTGCCCCACCTAGAGTGCATTACAAGCAAGTGATGTTCAAAGCATGAGTTACCAATGCCAGTCCATCCTGCTCCAAATAGGTCATGACTGCCACACAAACCCCAGCCACAGTTTCCATGATGACCCCTAACTCATGCCTCAAGTCCTTTGGGGGAAACATGACCCCCTTCAGTATAATACAAGGAACAATGTTTCTGGATGTTCACTGATGAACAGCAACTTGGAGGGGTTTAACTTGAGTTTCTTTTCTATCAGATAGACACTGGTTCAAGCCTTTCACAGCATTTCCAGTTTGGCAATGCACACCTGAGTGCCATCAGAGTCATTGGGCAGCCTACAAATTAAATAAATAAATAAATAAATAAATAAATAAATATCCTACACAACAGATGACTTCCTCCAGTGGTTTCATAAGCCATGGCAAGAAACAGCATGGAGGAAAGCGCATAACCATGAAGTGAACAGCAGGACCAGCAGGGGCCCTTTCTATTCCATGACTGGATCTCATAATGATTAATTTCCTCAAAAGTGAAGCTGAGCTGCCACCACTTTCTCAACAACTGTCCACAGAAAGGGTAGGCTGAAGATGGAGTGAATATTATCAAAAGTTTCTGGATCCAGGAAAGGCTACTTCAGGCACCAACAGCCTCTGTTAGATTTGGTGGCATTACTTCTTCCCTCAGAGAAGAGTTGCCAATTCTCCTAATTCAGCAACTCACACCCTGCCTGGCTACTCCAAAATAAACAAGATACAACACTGTTCCTCGGTTTTCCCATTAACGGGAACTCTTGTGAAATTATAGAATTACTGCACTGCTATGTTTTTCACCATCACAACTATCAAGAAGTTGTTTCAGTGCAACAAAGGAATGATGACTTAACAGCTTCGCCATTACCTTTTATAGTTACTATTGAGTAAAAAGTAAACAGTAAAAGCACATGTCTATTCATAACATATTTGAGTGTATAAAGGTATATCTGGTCAGTGTTGGAAATGTAAAAAACATGCATGGTGGACTTGCGAAAAAGCAAAAAAAAGAGGACATAAATACATATGATACAGAGAATGTTAAAGATTAACAAGTATGAAACCTTTTTTAAAAAATTAGGACTTAATGGATAATCAATTAGAAAAGACTTATGGAAGATTGATTTTATATATGGTAACAAGATTATTATATGTACAATGATGGAGAAATACTGAAATACCCACAATGGAGGAATGGGTGGTAAAGATGGCAGAATTAGCAGAAATGGCAAAACTGACCTGTTTGGTCAGGGATAACACAATAAGTGTCAGGCCTAGCCCAAGGAAATCCAGGAGACCATACAGAAATTATCCAGCAAGGTTTATTAGCTACAACCCA